CTGTTTTAGTAATACTCAGTTTCCAAATATCAGAAACATATTCGTATATAAGTCACTATAGAAGTAGCATAAATATTTAGTTGTTTTTTTTTTTGCAATTTAATCAAGACACCACTAATCAATACTTATAGAACGACCAAACTGATAACGATTTCTGTAGGGATTTTTAAGAGATCTTGTTCCAGCGTAACGATTCGCATTCTTTTTATTAATATCAATAAATTGCTGATGATTGCCTAGAAGTTATCATTGAACTCGTAATAGCGGAAATCTAACTTGTTTGTTGCATCCTCAATATAGGCAGAAACATTATAAAATAATACCGCGTGTCGCACCTTGAAAAGCGTTTTGCAAAGTCTCTTCTAATAAAAAACTGGTTCCATCAAGTTCTTAAGAGGAGATATAATTTAAGCCTGGTTAAAGTCAATTGATTGTAAAAGATTTAGGTCATAATCATCAATAGCCTATAGTAGTTCACAGGCTGGACATGGGCCACTACTTAGAAAGGAGGTTATGGCATACTATACGGATTTTTAAAGAGTTAGTTTCAAGTTTTCTTTCTTTTTGCAGTGCTATTGTTTTTCGTAGTTTGCTTTTAGGAAACCCACAGGATGAATAGCGACTCTACGTATTCCAAATCAGTCACCACACGGATAGAAAAAAGAACTCACATGATGAAACTCACAACCAAAAAACGAACCATCATTGCGAGGACAGTTTTCAACAGTACATTTTTTATTCCCCTTGTCGTTACTATACTTTTAAATATTATATTTTCCGGTAATATATAGAATATGATATTGTAATTCAATTCGATACAATCAGCAGAGCTAATAATAACAAAGGATATCGATACGACTGACATGTAAAAAATTAATCCTTGTCGGAATTCAAACGAGCAAAGGGGGAGTGTACATAGTTGCTTTAGAAAGGTTTAGAAATGTGACATTTGCGAACGTGAGCTTCGAAATTTATGATTCAGATTCGTGTGCAGCTATGATACGGTAAGGTCATGACCTTTTAGATTTTAGTTACCTACCAAATATTGAGTATAGGCGATGATATACTTCATTCTTCAAAATCCTATTCGCTTTTCAATGGCGTTTTCAGACCTTAATAATTGCAACGTTAAAAAAAATAAGGCAAAGAAAAATATTATCTACGTCAACTTTATCGATAAATCGTGTCGTCGATGAAGGTTAAAATTGTGCTAAAATCGTGGTATTCAAATATCAACCATTTTGCTAAAAATTGTAATTTTGGATTATACTTATAATGTCGCATGCGTACTTGAAGCTAAAACGAGCAAAACCAAACGGCATAAAACAGCTGGTTGGAAATATATGGTTGAAGGTCATTTCGAATGTGTCGTTCGACAAGACTGGTGATGTCTTTAAAATATTTAGTTCGAAAAATGGCAAATAGGGATTGGTGACGATCATCTAACGGATCTTTGTATGATTCTCTTTATCATCTCGGTCGGTCCCGTTTTCAATTAGGTCTGTGCAATATATTCCTTTTTATCATTCTGCTCTATATTTATTACTTCACGATACGTTTTTCACACAGTCTATCTATGTTATAGTTTGTCGTCCTATTCTATTATATTCATCAGCTTACAACTCTCTCTCTCTCGCTCTTCAACGGATCTTTTTACAACTCTGTATTCAGTATTGGTCTCTAAAATTATAACATAGCCATCATCATATATTATGATATGATGGCTATATGCCACTAAATTTGCTTCGAAATTCTGCTCGCATTTCTGATCTACTGATCAAAACGTCTTAGTGAATAGGGCACTCTTTTCACTCGTTTGTAATTATTTCTTTGTTATGTTTACTAATAACGCGATACTAGTAGGTCTGCTCCTAAACCCATACAACTAAGTTTTAGGGTTAGAAGGCGTTCTACGTCAGCAGAATATTAGTTGAGATTCATTTGCATTTGTTTCCTCAAGCATTACACCTTTAATGCACCTTTTATAGGTGCGATAGAGTATAAATTACTTCATACATATACATATGCTTATTTAGGACATTAACAAACAAAGACGTTGAAGATAAAGTTTTAAATATAATGTATTAATTATATTAGCAACACACAAACAAGTTGTTTTTTTTTTGCAATAAATCTGGACAGCACAATTTTATTGTAAATTTAAAAACATTTTCTTTTTTACTTTATATCTAATTATATTATTACCTAATCTAATTTTGGCCTTAGTTGATTAATAAAGCTGAAGCTCCTGCAGGCATTCATGGGCGGCGGTAGTCACTTTCCATCAGGGGTCGTCTGCTTGTCGGCCCCCTCTTTCAATAAAAAAAGCTTACTTTGAAAGGGCAACTCTCTGAGCAAAAATTTAAAAATCTAATTTGTACCTCAAACTATCATTTCTTAATAAAAATCTTCTTAATAGCTTAAACCTAGACTTCTGTTAATTCACCTTGCTATGTTATATTATTAATTTATATAAGGGCCAACTTCTCACGATGCAAATATTTTAGAGCAGGAAGAATATAATAATATGTTCATTAGAATAAAAAAAATACCAAGCACCTAATGGTCACAGGCGGAAACCACATTCTTGTCCGCCCATGTAATATTTAGACGTATAATAGTAATAATTTAATGCAGTAAACCCATATTACGAGTATTATAATGAAGTTTAATTAATTCAATTTTATTAATGCCTGATGCCAAAAAGCATTTACTATTTTTAATAAGATATTCTTTGACTTATAGGCTCAACACTTAAAATGTTTTGATCAGAAACATGCATACTATTCCGTCTAAGTATAGGTATGAAATTAACTTTTTGCAAGTTATGTACATATTAGATGTATAAGTAGATAATTGCTTCATATATTTATATTCATTAAATAAGACATCCTAATAACAAACCAGACCACACAAAGTTTGGCTTAAAAATAAGTTAATTGAATAATTCACACGAATTTTATAGTTATTTTAAGATGATAAAACAAATATCTTCTTCGATTTTGAAACATTATAACAATATCCTGAATAATACATTCCCTTTTTAGACCATACTTAGCCGCTACTTAAGATTAGTTCATTTGTCTATGTAAATATGTATGAAAACATCCAGATCAATACAATTATGTAATAAAAATAGATTCATAAACCATTTTTTATTTTATAAAAGGGAAACCAGACACTCTTCGGTCAGATAATGGCTGGTCAAAAATTCGTTTTCCGGCGCAAACAAGCATAGTACAAAGTAAATTCGCCAACGTTGTTAATACACCAAAGACTTCGGGGATATACAGTCGTAAAGATATAAATAAAAAAATGAGTCTACAAGAAATTACATAAGAATAATTGGCTGAAACAAAACACACATCTCAATCATATCATTATTATTACAGCTATTCTGCGTTTCTTACTCAAAGTTTCACGAATTATGTTTGAAACAAATAATACGCATAATTATGTTACATAATTTTTGTATGCAAGTTTTTCGACTTACACAATGCAACGAAAATTGTAATATCATGAACGGGCACACGCGAAAGCAGTTAGATTACCCGAGATTATGTCTTGCATCTAACGCTTAAACATGGCCTAATATATCATGTAGTACACGACCTACATTCTTTGACACGTTAATATATTTTGCAACATACAGTCGATAGGTACTTAATAATGCGTACGGAAGAAATTACAATGAACCTTCGATTGATTTATTGAAAGTTAATAACACAATATCATTAGCATTAAATTAATAAATCTTCGTTAATTTCTGGAAACGTGTGTATCCATATATTCCGTTGAAGCTTTGTCTATACAGCTACTCTACAGTTATTCAAATATTTTGAAAATTATTTCAACATTTGGCAAATAAACGACCATGCGCTGCTTTGATTGTCAGTTTATCTCGTGGGACAAGTTCTGCTTTCCAGTCCTTTATTCCGGTATATATAGTCGGTTTATTCAACAGCTGTCCTCACTTTATCGGACTCTGTAGCCGGTCTATTGCCTTATTTATAGCAAGAGCTACTTTCGTTCTGGATAATATCGTGGTCTCGGAGCACTTAGGCAAAAAAAAAAATTCACAGCATTGTTTTTAAGTTATTTTAGGTTAGTTATCGCGGTAAAGTAGCCTATATCCTTCCCCACAACTCAAACTATCTGCATCTGAATCGGTTCAGCGGCTTAAGCGTGAAGAGGTAATAGACAGGCAGACACACTTTCGCATTTATAATATTAGTATCTAAGTATGAATTAACCATTAAATGAAAGCAGTTTCAAAAGAGCTATAGTAAAACCTTCTTTCCTTATTTTGTTAAATATATTGTCACATAAACTAATAAGAGACGAGTATATTGTAGTGTTGCATGTAACAATATTTGGTTATTATAGGTACTCGGCTAATAGCTGTCCAAGGTTCAGTTACTGCCAACGCACACGACAGAGGCATGTCAAGACACTAAACAATTAAGTAAACAAATTACTAGTACAACAACAGTAATCATGTTTAGTGTGCCTGCTGGAATTTATAGTCATGAATAAAGCTCTCCGCTAAGATCCATATTTCAAATAACTACAATCATTTTATCGTTAAAGGCAAAGTTGAGATAGGAAATATTCATAAACAAACCTAATTCTATTGCATAGAAATTATCATTCAACATCAGATGATGAATGTAACTTTCTTTTAAGATAAGAAAGTATGTTTAAAAATTCACTTTTCAATAGCTGTTATAACTACTTACTGCGATTTAAAAAACAGTTGAAATACCTCACATCATGGGTTAGGTTAGTTTAGTTTTAGTTGGTAGTAATAAACGTAATTTCACTCGTTTACCCTACATTTCATTATAGGTCTCTTCACCTCATTAGGGCAAGTGGGTTCGACTACTACCTACTAGTACATGAAGTTATACGCAATAGACGTGTAAAAATTTTATTTAATCGAAGCAGTGATTAAGTGAATAAAAATGTGGCAAAAGCAAGTAGTGTGCGTTTTTATAATTATGGTGAGCTGGATCGACAGTACGGCAACGATCACCTATCAGAATCAAGTGGGAAATGGACTCGGGAAATCAGGTAATTTATTTTTGTTTATAATGGTTGAATATTTATGTAAATCGAAGTCATCAAAGAAGCGTTTAAAGGTAGTTCAACCATACTTACACGTTTGAGGTTTTAGTGTGTGAGTATTTTTAAATTAGGTTTTTAACATTCCTTTAACTTATTTAATTTTTAATGTTTAGAGTTCTGTAATATATAATTTTTATTATTATTTTTATATGTATGAATTTAGAAATATATAATTATGTTTATCAGCAGTCTGGTTACCATAGTACAGGTTCTGCCTAGTTTGGGATCAGACGGCCGTGTGTGAGATGTCTGAAAATATTATTATTAATACGGGAATTTACAAGCAGATCATGGTCACGGGCTTACTGTAAAATTTCCGTATTCGGCCCACAGAAAACCGGTGTTAATCAATTCTTTTGTTCCTTTTCACCGAGCGAGTGGGGTTATCAGAGGCCAAACCCTCTCTACTCTTGATCCTAAGGGACAACACTCAAAGGCCCCAACGCACTTGTGACTTTTGTGTTCTAGGTGTCCATGAGCAGCGGTAGTTACTTACCATCAGGTGACCCGTGTGCTGGTTTGCCCCATTATACCATAAAAAACAGTTGCACTCCGGGAGTGCCGACAGAAGTGAAAACTTATACACAGAGGTGTCAGTAACAGTAACGGCAATAGTATCGCGAGTTCAATTGTTTCTTCCCATCTCAAAAAAATCCCAACGCGGCGCAAATGATTGGGGCCATGATATGGAGCGAGAGCGCGTGGAACTCCTTTAGCGAGGAAGTTATGCTGGCGAAGGAGATGGCGGAGCGGGACCGGGAGAGGTTTAGAACTCTCCCGGCCCGCCAGGCCCGGGAACGGGCCAGGTACCTCAGGAGACTCAGCCACCGGAGGTCGCAAAACGACCTCCGTCCTTTATAAGCGCAGGCCTGGGGGTGACAGGTGAGCGCGCTCGCCCTTTAGGTGCAGAAAGGGAACACCGTGGTTCCCACACACGAGGGGGTCATCTACAAGCCGTAGATGGCCTGGGGTCCGTCGAGGTTCCAGGGATTTCCTTCCTAGGGTACACCTGGTTCCCCGGCTGGTACCCGAGACGGCGTGCGGTTTTAGGTCGGTTCATGTCCGACATTACCACCGGTAGGTGGTATCCGAAGGGATTTCCGCACAGACAAAAAAATCGGTTGTCTGTAAAGTCGGTTTACTGACGATAGTTGAACGTGACAACGTCATAAGAAAATACTGATGGAATGGTAGCATTTTTCAAAAATGTATTATTGTATACGAGTAGCAGCTGTCCACGCGGACGCATCGCTCACTCAAGTAGGAGAGAGACAGATGTCGAACGCTGCCGAACGCGGAGGCCGATTGTGCCTCTTTGTCACTCGTTCCGCGCTCTCGCTTGCACTTCACGCCTTAAATGGAACGCCTCAGAGCGAGGTAACGCCGCATGATTCATGCTTTTTCGTACGTGCAGCCGGCTCCATCGAATTATAGTTATCTATTTAAGTAATTATGTAAATATACGAGAATTTACATGATGACGTGATACATATATGTCTTTAAATATAATGTGTAAAAGAACTTCTGGGAACGCTACCAGTAGGCGATGATGCGGACTTATATTTTGATGCTTGTATATAAATATTGCAAATATTTTAATTGGATTATTAAATTATTATTTTTTGTCATTCAAAAGCCTTTTAATAATAATGGAATACTTGTGTTATTATATTGTTAATATTAAGAGTAAAAATTATGTACATCTGCACAAATTTATAAGAGAGAGAGAGGTTTGAGAATGTTTAGTATTGTCTAGTTTGTCTAACACCGTTACATAGTTGTCACGACTCTTTTATCTTCTATTGAAAATAGGTATTGAAAAATGAATTTTAAAACGTTTTTGCTTTTGTGCACAAAATAGTATATTAGATATCTTTTTGACTTGTCACTATAATTCGTGTGACTAATTATGTCTTATCAGTATCAGATAATTAGTTATACCTAAATATGAAGCCCAAGCACACCAATTGTAATGACTGTGGTATGTATTGCGGGTTTCTTACCAACTTCAATACATAGGTATTTTTATTTCAATACTGAAATTCCATCACGAACATATGGGAATACCTCGTCAAATATTTGTCATTGGACCATCATTATTTATTCCAAAGAATGATCAAAGGAATGCTCGTAAAATAAGGCTTTATTCGTTCACAATGCAATGTAAATGCGATGATTTAATTCACTGAGCATGCCTTTAACTTTTTAAACAGTGTAATCAACATTATGTCAAAGGCACGTTAAGTCCATATTTTGCCCATAGAAACTTTATTTGGTAACTAACTTCTTTTTCTACATTTACAGGAGTAAATTTATGTATATTGGTTTAGTTTATTACTTACTAGCTTTTGCCCGTGACTCCGCCCGCGTGTATGTCGGTTATCGCGGTAAAAAGTAGCATATGTTACTCGCAGATAATGTTGCTTTCCATAGCTTAGTGGGTCAGGCGTGAAAGCGTAATGAACAAACATACTCACTTTTACATTTATAAGTATGTACATAAATAAAAGCGAAATAGCAAAATAAACATCTGACACTTTTCGATTATCGGCCAAATTAAACCCCGCGTTCGTTCATTGGTGAAATTTACACATGCGTCCTCGGCTTCCTGTTACACATTTCCGTCCTCTTTCACTAAATCACCAACAGAGATAGCAGCAAAATAGGAGAAAGAATGATACACATCAAAAATCTTTTGTTTTGCTCTGTGCAAACATGTAACCATTAAACGTCCTTTATTTATTTTTTTAATTGCCAATGTGATATCACATTTAATAGCATAAGTTACTTTGTGAATAATACAAACTAGACAGGGAATCCTATCAAGTTCTATTAAATATAGTTTTAACTATAGAATCTATAATATAATCAATTGAAATTGGTTGAAATCACAACGACAGTATTTTTAATGAATTTCGTAACTAAAAGCGAAAGCCTTATATCGCAACAACTGCTCAAATTTTGTTCGTTGACACAGTTTTCTATAATTTTTAAACATATCGAGTACAATTTAATGTGGCTTATAGATTGGATTAAACAAAGTTAACCACGTCACTACTGCAGCGGGAATGTAGTATAATTTTAGAGTTTTTTTTTAATTTTAGAGTATATTTAAAAAAAAATTGAAAGTATTATGGTATTTCCATGTCCACACAACAAGCCTTGATTTTTTTAACTTTACGTCACAGTGTGATATAATTGGCTACATTGGTGACGAGTGAAATTATGGTCAAGAATTTAATTTTAAATACTACTTTTTTTAAGACAGATAAAGTTAAGGAGCAATACCCATTAACTGTATAGCTTATTAATGTTATGTGTTGGCCAAATTGGTGTCAAATACAATCTTTAAAAAGAACCCATAAGTAGCCAGTAGGTGCAACGTGAAATAATATGGACGTGATTTTCATAGCAATGATCGAGAGAGTCTAAGAACGATCACAATGATGATTATTTTCGCGATGTCCATTTGTTCTACCACAAGTATAGTGTTAGTTAGTGTAATATTACAGTATAACTTTAAGGTAGTCACCTAAAATTATAACGAAATATCATGTATACCGCCCCTTAATGCTGGCGTAGCAAAAACTTCGCCATTGTTTCAAATTAAGAGTATTTTGTAAGAGTATTAGAGGAGGCTTTTTCTACTATTGTCACCCTGCTTATCAGCCTATCCTTTTAATACATGTACTCCTAATGGTCCCCTCTAATCCCTAAAGCGCCATGTGGACCACAATAAGCTTGCCATCTCATATGTGGGCGTATAATATGTGTCTGCTTAACCCTTTTTGCATGTAGGTATGAGTACATATGATTTGTTTCAAAAATATCATAACTATCTAGAAGAATTTTTAATGTTTATTGAAAGTATGTCTTTCTCAACATTCGAGTGATGATGGATCAGTCAAATGTTATTTAGATGGCAGTCATTGTTAGTTTTATTACAACACTCATTGTAATGTACATACATATGATGTTTGCAAAAGTTGTTGCAAGTGTACACTTGAGTGTACCTAGTTTTGAGTTGTGGGTTGTTGGCAGTTAATGGCTGAGAACGAAAGGTCGCTTGTTTTTCTCAGACACGTGAATAAACTACATTCACCATATGATTAACAAATGCGTGTACTGTATGGCTCGAAAGTTTCGAATACATAAGTGTGATGGCTCTAACTCGAGCAGATATCGCATGTAAAATCAGTAATGTTTCACTATTATCTGTTGTTTAGACTTATTACTTGACTTAAGAACCAATGCGCTTTAAATTTAATCCAAATGCAATTGACCGAAAAATTGCTTCGCTTCGACGATTAAACACTTCATTAACTATAAGACATCGTGACTAATTTTAGTAAAAAATGTTAAAATACGCATTTAATTAATCAAATTTAATTTTTATTGATTAACCGACACCAATTATAGTTTGAATTAGAACTGTACGACATATGTAAAAAAAAATTGGGAACTATTGATCCAATATTATAACGTATACGAGTATCTGCTTATATCAGTAAGTTACAACGAAATAAGGTAAACCTTAATTAAGTACTACCATAATTACCTCTTCAACGATCCTCGATCAATCGTGAGTAATTTTAACATTGATGGGTACTTTAAATCTCTTATTAAACATACCTAACGACCACTGCTGGCCAATACCTATCACAGTAATTTTCGTAGGAAGATAACATTACCTTTAAGCGTTACACGCTCCTCCATCAGAGCGATTACGTTCATCATAGCCATAACTATGCTTCCAAAAAAAAACAATCATGACTTATGCAATACACGAAATAGATCCTATAGTACTGCTTTAAAGCTTAAAGTTCATCCGGACATCGCAATGCAAACATCCGCTTACTGAAACATTTGCTATTAAAATGAGTCCTAAAATCTCAGGTAAATTCGAACTTCGTAGATGCCAAACGTGCATAACCAAAATCAATTAAAGTACATTGTAAAGGTTTTAGTCCAGGAAACCTTCTCCTCATCCACAGTTTACTCACAGGTATACACGACAAACGAAATAACTGGTCAGTAGTACGAAGTACTTGTGATTTTAATGATTTATTAGTAGAGAAATTGAAACTAATAACACAGAATGGCTTTGAAACAATCATCCAATCAACATCAACAGCCTTTAGTAGTCCACTACTGGACATAGGCCTCTCCTTAGAAAGGAGGTTTAGGCCTAAAATATCACGATGGCCAGACGGGTTGTTATAGGATTTGTTTCAAGTTTTCTTTCTCTTTGCAGTGCTGTAGCTCTGCATAGTTTGCTCTCTTAATCGACTCTAACGACACCCAAGGGATGAATAGGGGCATTGACAATCCGTATTATAAATCCGTCACCACACGGACATTTTTGATACAATAATAATTTGCAAATGTATGAGTAAAGAAACTACGTATTAAGAATTCACACACATGTAAATGTACAATTAACTACTTACCGGAATAATATACTGACCAGGTATTTTGTTTGCCGTGTGTACGTACACAACTGCAAATGGTAGGTAAATAAGGATGTGCCCTTGCACTTGTACTTGCTAGCATGTCGCTGGCTGACCCGATTACCACTGACAATCTTAAGTTCAATCGACAATTGAATTGCAAATATATAATATTTATGCCACCGTAGATACTCGTAGTTTTATTTTTTGTTATTCGTGGCTACGATTTGAATAATAAAACACAAATTTTCACATTCGTTATTCGATAAATACAACATGACATGGTAATAGGTGGAAACTGCGATGATGTAACAACGCATATTAAGGATTGTGGCCTTTTCGAAAAAGTGCGCTTACGTAATCGATGAATGCATTAACACAAACAACATAACACAAGGAACATAAGAAATTTGATGTTCAGATCTTATTTTAATTTAAAATTAAAACTACCATGACACGACGATTTACCTCAAACGGCCGCCGTGATTTTATCGTGGGCGAGCCATGCTTCGACACAAATGGGCCGGCTCGACCGGAATGATACCATGACCTAGAAAACCGATGTTACACAAATTTTTCGTTGCTTTTCACGGAGTGAGTGAGGTTAGCGGGCCCAAACCCCTTCTGCTGGTGGGAGGACTCAAAAGACGGCAATGTACCTATGACTCATGAGTTGCAGGTGTTTATGGGCGCCGGTAGTTACTTAACATCAGGTGACAAGTCCGCTCATTTGCCTTCCTACAAAAAAACGGCTGCCTTTAGACAGTATCCCTGGCGTAATTAGAGTCGCCAGCAGAGCTGGAAAACAGAACACAGAATCTGTGAGCTGGAGTTGGAAATGCAGTATAACCGCTTGCATTTGAACTGTAAATGTTCTCTAGTAACTGTAGGCCATGTATTTGCATTATCAATTTTACTGTGCCAATATTTGTAGAAGAAGTTACTGTTACTTCCGGGTCATTGTTAGCAGCACAAAAATCTTAAATATTTTTACTTTTTATTAAATTAAGAGAATAACTTTGTTAATCTATACTAATCGCTCAATTTTTTTTAAACCATTTTACCTCCATTTAATCAATTTAAAATCATATATCACGTGACCCAATTCCGTTTGGAATAAATGCTTTTAAACATGTGTCGTGTCACGGATTAAATGAATTGGATTTGAAATTTATGGACATTTTTTGGGCACATTTGGCTTTGATCATGCAAATATATTTAAAAAAATAACAGAATATAACCTACAATTACAACATTTAAAAAAGGAATTTCTGTTTTATTTTAGAACGTCAGTCGAATAATTTTTCAATTAATTTTCACATTGTTTTCTTTTGTTTACAGAATGTTCGAGTTGTAGCGATGATGAGCTCGGAGTGACGCGGTGGACGATGCCTCTACTCAAATCTGGAGAGAAGAAATACTACCTTGGAATTTTCTTCAAGGTAAGAACTATTTTATTTCCTTTCTAATATAACTAGACTTGGTACTTATCTTTGTATAAAGCCGATTTTGAAAACTGGTTGTTGTGAAGAACAACGAATTTAAATGTATTAATAATTCCAAATTTAAAAATAATAGTAATAAAGATTTCGAAAAGTCGACACACGGCGTCGTTTTTCCCAATAAAGAATTTCTTCTTTAAGAAAAGCCCTTCTAGTATTAGTTTCTTATTCAAATCTTATTAATATAAATTCACAAACTCATTTAAATGCAATAAAACAATTACAATTGATTGGCAGTAAGGAATTGCCTAGAGTAATTGACCTCGTATTTTTTGTCACCAAATCAATTTACATCATCGATGAATACTGTCATTAATGATATGAATAATTATTATATAGGTACCAGCTTACAGTTTTGCGGGATCCCTCGGGAACAGTACAATTCTTAGAGAAAATCCTTTTATTGAAGATTATCTTTGGTATGCCTTCAAGCTGATTAGGCTGTATGGGTATTAATCTAGCATCCTAAAATAAAGTTCTAAGAAAAGTGGTCACTCTGAAATACGTTCTTTTCTATTGGACTACGGCAGGCCAATAATTTAACAGAACAAAGTTTGTCGGGGAAGCTAGTGTATAATATTTTTTTAGAAATTCAACCGTACTAGGATATACTCGTAAATTATGAAATTGATTTTTAATTTATTTTTTTATTACATTCTATTAGTTATTTTAAATCTACAACCATAGTCAACGACTAAGTACAATCAATAGTAATCACATTATAAAAAAATCATCATCATCTCAGCTTAATGACGTCCCCTACTGGACATAGGCCTCCCGCAAGGCTCGCCACAATAATCGTTTATTATATTATACATGAATTGAATCCTCGATCCTTGAGAAATTTGACTAGTAATAGTAGTTTATTCAGAGCAGAAGTTTAATGCAGCTGTTCGTGGTACAAATTATAAAATGCACCTATATATGTATACAATTTAACTGGTAGCCACAAAAACATTATTATGACTTGTGTGATGACAAGTCAATACATACATATACAATACATACATATACAAAAGATATATCGACACCTTGATATATAGGAAACATTTCCGTTATGTACTTTAAAATAATATTGACACTTGTAAAGGTAATAATAATGTACATACAACATACAGACCTATGGTTATTTGTATATTGTTGTCACATGTGTTTGGATTTTAATATAATAAAGGAAATCAGCAGTCAGTCATGCAGTCTTTTTTTAGTTAAACTCTCCAATGTACGGTAGTTAACTGCCTATTCAAATCACTTTCTCTTTATTACAAGTCAAATCATCTGTCAAATAATAAGGGTAAAATTTGTGTGAAATAAAATCTTTTGGCTGCGTCAGGAGTAAGATTTTTTGGGTCTCTTAATTATAAAATTATTTATTATCATCAAAGACACTCGGGTCGACGATCTTCTATTTAACACGAATTGCACCAATATTATTTTATTTCTGCTAAGAACTATTAACAGAGAAAATGGCAACCCACGACTTACACCACTGTTAATAGAAGTCTAAAGATGTTAAACTTTTATAATCTCCGGAAACCATTTTCAAGCCGAAACTTTGTTTGCCACTTAGTAATACAAAAACAGCTCTTACGTCAGATACTTTCTACTTACTACGTTTGGGGCTAATGTTAATAACAACCTAGACTACCTGTCAGAGGAAGAATGCACAAAATGCAAAATCCCCAAAGGCATAACGAAGATCTTCTCATATTGAAACTTTCGCCACCTTCGTATCCATAACACAAGAATATCAAAGAAGTAACAACCTTGGGAACTGTTTTTTAAAAAGGCTGGTAATATATCAACCAGCGTTAATGAAAATTTTGGGCACGAGATAGAAACGCATTGCCTACTTTTACTTTCTAGGTCAATAGCATGAAATGTTAAAACAAAATTCACAATCGAACTAAAACCTCTCACGATTAATTGTTTACCTTCACGGCCGATTCGTCGACATCGATTCATTAGTTCGTAACACTACGTAAGATTACTGCGGGTACGCATCATTGAGTGACGTAACGAGTGGCGCGAATTGATGGATCGGGCGACTACTTTCTCTTTTACTCGACTTGTTCGTTGGAAGTACGAATATTTATTTATACTTGTTTAGTAGCTTCGGCAGGCAATGTTAGGAACAAATATTTTCTCATGGCTTGTGTTACTAAAGACTTTATAACGCCGGACTACCCGGAAGCCGGACTGCTGATGATGATGACCACCGTTTACATATTATTTTTCTATTCAACGAAAGCAGTAATTTTTATCGACGAAAGTTACTAAAAAACTCTATTTCTGGAGGCAGTGATAAGATGCTGCAGAGTCCTTGTCTGTTTGTCCTGCAGAGTCCGTGTCTAATTGTCCTGCAGAGCCCAGGTCTAATTGCCCTGCAGAGTCCATGATTTAGCTTAAGTTGCTTGGATGGGTTTCTTAACCATTTCATTTTATATACATTATACAAACGGGGAGATAGTAGGAATACCAAACTATAAAACGATCTTTTAATATTAATAATATAAGTGTTGGTAATGACTTTGTGGCTAAAATACGAAAACACCTGTATATAATATAGAGTCACTTTACGTGTCATTTTTTGAAATAGTCAGTTTCTAATCAGAGCTTTGTGTTTTTATTACCTTCCATAGATGGTACCTTCCATTGGTAAGGATTATACTACCGTTTTGTGTTTACGCTTCAATTCATAACTAAAGACAAAGTTATCACAAAAAAGTTTTATTTGCGTTTGATATACCCGTCATATAAAATATTGAAATTTGTAGCGTGATTCAATGGATTTCAAGCTTAAAGAAGACTGTATTAGATAGAATTATTAAACCTGTGCCATTGGTGTAAATTTCAATTTGGTTGCAAATGTCAAAAAAATTAGTTGCAAGGTCTTGCTTTTGAGGAGAATCTGACCCCTAGTTCAATAGGCAAAGGCCAGCATTTGCAACACACCTGAGAGTAAAGGCACTCTTAACTTCAATAGGCATTGATAGGAACATCCCATTATAACAAGCTTATTATTGATGAAACAAAAAAAAGCCTATAAATGTATAAGTACTTTAAATTTTATCATCATTATCATCATCAACAGCTTTTACTCGAACAGGACAAACCGGGAAAAAACTTACATTACCTTAAAATTTACAAACCGTCGATTTTAATTTTTATAACTTTCATAAACGCAATTAAAATAAACTTAACGATACCTTCCAAGCAAAAATCCATGAAACCATTTAAACTACAGAGCTTGAAACAGAAATATAAATATACATACATACCCTCCATGACCCTCCTTCTGGAAGAAAAATAAGAAATACTGGTAAAAGCCTCCGGTGGACCTTTCGCACTAATACCTCGTCATTGACGTTGGAAAAAATTATGAACTTCAACAGAAATATATCCATTAATATGTAGAACGGTCGAGCCTATATGAAGTTATTGATTTCCGCATTCAAACACCTGAAACTGGCTATTGTACGAAGGCGTAACAGCTGTACAAGGGAAAGTTCGCCAGTTAGGCACCCGTTACCTGTCACTACTTGTAATTTATACATGATATAAGTTCTGTTCGAGTTGTAGTTGTCTTGTACCTGAAATTGAATTGCAACGATCTACTTAAAATAAGCCGCCTTATAATAACGAACCTATTAATATAAATTATACAGAACTTTCGTAACGAAAATAATTTTGTACTGACAAAGTATATAAAAATTAACATTCAAGCTATCGCGATTATCCGGCTAACAGAACGTACATTAACAAAGCCACAGGGCAACTCATGATATATAAATTTGCATAGAATCGGTTCGGGTGAGTATGAAAGTATTAAATCTGGATTGTAGTTTGTAAAATTGTTATTTAAATTTCAGTTGTCAGTGACATAACGGTATTTTTGTATACAATGTGAAATGTTATTATCATGCATTTGAAAGCATTTTATTTCTCACATTATACAACATATTTTGAGACTGGAACAAGACTTAACAAATCCAGATTCATTCAATTCGACAAGTTTTTGTGACCTGCTACTGCTGCTGCCTCTAAATTTCGATAATTGTTTATAACATCATAAACAACCTAGTGATTAAGACATTTTTTTACTTTCAAATCGTATTCGTATCCAGCCAAGGGCCAATCCTCCACAGGTCTTACTGCCGCAATAACGGCGTGCCCGTTATATTTTGCAACCAAAAGAAAAAGAAATGTTATTTTTACCTTTATCTGATGTCTGCACAATGTAAACTGTGGGGTTATTTCTGCTGAATACACAGAGTTGTATAAAAAGAAGGGTCGTGCTTACCTCATAAAAGTCGGCTTATGACTGCACCTTTGACATAATATTTCTTTATTAATACATGAAGAATGTATTTGTACCCTTTTTCAAACCAATATGGCACACGGAAGCAAATCATATTTGGAATATGGAAAATTTACATATGGAAGAAACGCAGAAAGCTGAAATGTATAAACAATATATGCTAAAATATATACAACAAGTACCTACCTCCTTTCTAAGGAGAGGCTTGTGTCCAGCAGTGGACTATTAAAGGCTGTTGATGATGAGGATGATGATGCTACAAAGTATACGGATATCAGTGTACAAAAGTCTACAGTATGGCAGGTCAAGTTATACTGGTCAATGAATCAAAAGAAGACATTTAAAATGGTCGAAATCCGACCGCCAGCCGACATTTAGTTTTTGAAATTTCGTTATTGAGTGTTGGCCTTAGAATCATGTAAGGTGTTGCTTGTAACATAATTTTTTTTTTTTCTTTATTATCTTTTTATGAGTCGGTACCACTGCGTGTAGTGTTATATAGTTGAATATAAGCTATGTGAAATGAGTAATATTTTAACTATAACTAAACTCAATCAATTTGTAATGTCACCCTTTGATACCTAGAAAAATTAAGAATTTACCTACTTAGAACTTTATA